TAGGAGTACCATAATTAAATTAATAACAAAGTACCTACCTATATAGTATAAAAAATTTGGCTCTCCAAAGAAATGTCAGTCGTAGTACTGTTGATATTTGGGTCTGTTGACTAATGAGATTGGATTCATACCCTGTTCTTCACTTCCAAGAGGAATCTCAGATTGCCTGACAAGTTTCTCATGGACCTGAAACCCTCAGAAGCTGACACTGTGCTGGTTACACTGACATCTAAGTTACCACTCAACTAAGCCCGGGGTTACAGGTTGTTGTGTTGTGGAGTTAAAAAGAAGAAGTTAAAAAAAGAAGTTAAAAAGAAGAAGAGATTGGATTCAGCTGACATTTAACTTACCACTCTGGCCAGGCGGGGGTTAGTATGGGCTAGCCCAGAGTAACCCCCCGCCTGGACTAACCCCCGGGGTTACTCTGGCCTGGCCCGGCAGGGGTTACTCTGGCCAGGGGGGGTGAATCTGGCCTGTTACAGCCGGCCAGATTAACCCGGGGTTACTCTAGCCTAGGCCAGAATAACCCCTCAATAACCCCTCCGGGGTTATTCTAGGCTAGGCCAGAATAACCCCGGGGTTACTCTGGCCGGGGGGTTAATCCGGCCTGTTACACCGGGACCTTAGCACATTGCTTAGAAAGCTGGATACTTGCTGGATTCCAGAATGATAGAAGTCTGTTCCTCAGATTATAAACTCTCTAAAAGAAAATAAAAATTACGCCTCATATATTCGTATCAAGTTGTCTGAAGAGCTGACTACATTTCTCAAGTATGACCTAATGGGGGACGCACCACCTGTGTTGTGTATGCTGACCGTTGTTCTCCATTCTCCGTTCTTGTTGTGTGCCTAATAAAGCGTGCTATGCACTACGTCGTCATCTGTCGTCTATCCATGCGGCAACCCACTACACAATAGTGGCGACGAAGGTGGGATCCAGCCGCATCTGAGCCGGGCCGTCGTGAGGGACCAGGAGAACGCGAAGCAACTGATCCGACCGATCCGATGAGTGAGACCGCTTCTCCCGCAACTGCTCCGACGTGCACGATGGCTACCGCTCAAGGGCTAGGGCTGCTTCCACCCTTCGACATAGCCTGCCCGCAGGACTGGGATGGCAACCGCTCCTGGGCTAGGGCTGCTTCCGCCCTTCGACATAGCCCACCCGCAGGACTGGCCAGCCTGGGTCAGAGGCGCCAAGTCCGCACTGGAGTTCTTCGATGTCACCGACGAAGGCAAGAAGAGGGGATTCCTCCTGGCCTCCTGCGGCACCGCGGTGGTGTCCCTGGCCGGACAACTACTCTCCCCCACAGACCTCGGCGACTGCACCTTCGAGCAGATCGTCAACGCGGTGCAGAACCACTTTGCACCCAAGCCAACTGAGCTGACCTGCAGGGTTACGTTCTACACCCGCAACCAACTGGCCAGAGAGACCGCCGCAGAATTCCTCGCAGAGTTGCGCCAACTAGCCGCCGACTGCAACTTCGGGGCACATCTGGACAACGCGCTCCGCGACCACTTTGTCGTGGGCTTGCGGGAGGAAAAGCTCCGACGGAAGCTGATGGAGAAAGAGAAGGTCACCCTGAAGGAGGCCCTCGCCGCCGCGGTTGCGTGGGAGAGTTCTCATGCGGCCCCCACCGCAGCCCTACAGGTCGATCCAGATAGTTCTGAGGAGCAAGACGTCCACCGGACCTATGGAGGGGCCCAGCAGCGCACCCAAGCACCCCAGCACACCCCAGCATCAACCTCTAGCGCCGGCCACCAGCATCCCAAAGCATCCACATGCGCCAGTTGTGGAGAACCGCACGACCAGAGAACCTGCCGGTTCCGCAACGCGGTCTGTCGCAGTTGTGGCCGCACGGGCCACATCGCAAAGGTCTGCCGAGCCAAGCCAACAGGACGGCCCCAGCCAAACCGCCAGAGAGCAGAGGCCCACTTCGAGGAGGACGCCAGTGCCGAGGACATCTACCTCCTCACCCACTCAGCGGAAAAGGTACTGAGACTTCCCGGCAAATCCCCCGCCCCCAAGTTCATGACCACTGTAAAAATAGAGGGATCCCCCTGTGAGATGGAGGTCGATTCGGGCTCCGCCGCTTCCATTATCTCCGCGGCAACGCTCAAACGCTTGTGCCCTAAGGGGGGACCCCGATTGAGGCCAGCCCAGGTGACGCTTATGGACTTCCAGCTGAACCTGGTACCGATAAAGGGCATCGGAATGTTCAAGGTCCAGTACAAAAATTTCAAACGGAACCTGGACTTGATAGTGGACGAGGGCGACCTGGTCAGCTTACTGGGACGGGCCTGGTTCGAGCCCCTGGGAATCACGGTGGAAGGGGTGCAGGCGTGCGCAGCCCAAGACTTCACGGGGATTTGCCGAGAGTTCCCTGCAGTGTTTGACGACTCCCTAGGCCAGTATACGGGCCTCCCGGTATCATTGCGCTTGGACCCCTCGGTGGCCCCCATAAGGATGCGTGCCAGGACGGTTCCATTGTCGGTCAAGCCGAAGATAGACGCAGAACTGGACCGCCTCGTGGCTCAGGGCATCCTGGAGCCCGTCTCCCACGCGGCGTGGGAGACGCCCATTGTGGTAGTTAACAAACCAAATGGGGCAGTCCGTATCTGTGCGGACTATAAATGCACGTTGAACAAGGCGCTACAGGACCACGCATACCCGGTCCCAGTAGTTAGCCACGTTCTGGCCACCTTGGGCAGGGCTAAGATCTTTGGGAAATTGGATCTGGCCCAAGCATATCAGCAGTTGCCAGTAGATGAGGCA